AAATCACCTAACAACACATTTCTCAGAATGTATCCCCATCGTTAAGTGACATATGACTGTATATATTTGTACTTAAAAAAGTAGAGCTTCATTTTATTGATAATTTTTAACTACAAAATTTTAAGACAGAAGTGGGGAAGGAGTTGTACAGCTATACTGTGAACCCTTTGAGGTCAGACTATCATCTTTGGATATTTATGTGTAATATTGTATATACCCATAGGCACGTTAGCACCATAGTAAATCCTTATTGAACAATGTGTATCTAGACTATTTTAAAATCTGAATGGTGACACTTGGGATGACAATATAATGTGGCAAAATTCCATAGTACATATTTCTGAAATATCTATATACGTTTCATTGAAAATAAACTGATAGTAAATTGAATGAACATATTAAGTTTTCTGTGACTATTAAATATTTAAAAGACCTTTTCAATTGTTGCTGATATATAAGCTTACTTTAAAGGGTACCTTAGGTCTGCCTTTATTTCAGATAATGGTTTTTAATGCAGATAGAAAAAGCCAGAGTGTGGTATACTCATAATAACTAATTAAGTCCTAAATGCACTCTAAGATCATAATATAGCAGAAGGTACATTAAATGAGATACTATTTTCATAAGGAAATGCTCTGTCTCCTGTGAATTATACACAGAGGGTGGAATTGTGGTTTGGCAATTTAGAAGAACATTCTAATTATCTGGAAACAGTATTTCCTTTTCTGTTTTGCCTGTGGCTAGGTTCATCACATATTTTATTTTACCTGTAATTGCTAAAGATCTCCGTAAGTGCTCTAAGTATAAGCACAAACTATATTACTTTTTACTATTGATGACTTTATTTTTTAAAAGAAAGCTTTATCATGAAAATTTTACTCTTCATTCATAAAATAAAAATAAAGACATTCCAGTTCCTTCTTCCTATGGTATTGAATAAAAAATAAGCAAACAAACATTTTTAAAAATCTGATATCTTTTCTATTTGAACTCAACCTTTATGAGAAAATAGGCCCTCAAAACTTGGACAGATAACTACTCAAGTCACAATTAACAAGTCTCTCTCTTGGTCCCAACATTCTGAAGCAAGGTACCAGCCCACTCTTTCCAATACTTACATGAAGAAAAGTAATTATCACTGACTGTCTAGTTTGTGGTGTTAGATATTCCTGTTTTTCAGAAAGAAAAACTTAAATCTGAACACATACATTTCAAAGAAGGGGAGGCTCCAGATATTTCTGTTAAACAAATAAGCTTTTTTAAAAAGCACAAAATAAGGCCACCCTGATGGCCTAGAGGTTAAAATTCAACATGCTCTGCTTCGGCAGCCCAGGTTCAGTTCCCAGCGCAGAACCACACCACTTGTCTGTCAGGGGCCATGTTGTGGCAGCAGCTCACATTTAAAAAAAAAAAAAAAGGAAGATTGACAGCAGATGTTAGCTCAGGATGAATCTTCCTCAGCAAAAAATAAAATAAAAAGCACAAAACAATTCTACTCTCCCAGGAGCTTCACAAGTGTTAGTATTGATACGCTTGGATGTCTGCCATTGATGACCTTTGTTATCTGCAGGCAGCTTAAGACCAGTAGTCCCCGGCTTTGCCCTTAAATTTGCCCTCAGGCCCACTGATAATGGAAGTGAATAAATGAAACCAAATTTTCTCTTAGAACTCAGAAGTAGGAATCTTTGAACGTGCTGTTCTGGGTTAAGCACTTCTTATTTCCATTTTGACATATTTTTTGTCTTTCATTCATTAAGGAAAATATTTCTTTCACCTATTTTGTGTTCAGACTTAATCATTCTCTTGTAAATGTGTATGCCTCCATCCTGACCCTGTATTCTGATCCTCAGGCATTTGATTGAAGGATCATCAGCCCTCCCTAGCAGGTACACTGTTAGAAGACTGATTACATTTCCAAAACTTACGTTTCTAGAATTTATATTTCTGCTTATTATTTGAGTGGTCCTTGGTGTGGGGAGATTTTTAAATTCATAAAACAAAAAGAGAAAGAAACATCTTCCTCAACATAAAGATTCAATCTGTGAAGAGCTTGCACGGAAAGTGGATCCATACTGGAATAAGTCATCCTCTACATGACTCAACATGGCATTACATCTGGGTCCACCATTCAGATCTCGAGGGGTTTTGTAACAGGGACGCGGGATCTGTTTCTTATTATCCAGCTGGGCTGGTGGCCTCATAATTGGAAGCTTTAGTGATGAGTGGAATTTCAATAAATATTTATTAAGTAATATGCCAAACAGAAACATTACTGATTTTCCTGGGATAGCATAGACACGTTGCCGTTATTTCAAAATGTAATTGGTTAAAAGCTTGGTAAATAGTGATGTTTATTTTTATAGCAGGAAGTAGGGAATGTTTTTATAGTTTTAGGATATTGGCCAAAAGAAAACAAAACAATCAAGAGCCATATAATTTGTTTTGTTGTTGTTGTTGCTTTTTAAGGAACATGCAGTTTCCACTTGTCCCTATAAAAACAGGAATAAAATTAGTCCTATAATAAATAATTTTAACTGGTTTGAATATTTTTAATTATTTGAATGGGGATAAATGAATTTGTCAGCTACAAAGGAGAAGGGTAGAAATAGGAAGAGAGAGAAAGCCCAGTGAAAACACAAAGGGAGAGAAAAGGCGAGAGTGTTGAGGGCCAGAAAAAGATTTGCAAAAAGTTAAAGACACATAAGATCGACAGAAGTCAAAGATAGGCTTTCATGGAACGGTATCATTCTGAAGCAGGTTTGTTTTTGTGTTTTAGAGATTTCGTGTAGATTAGCCATGTACTGTTCTGTTGTATCTGACCCTCCTGGCCCACCAGTGCTGCTCATACTTGAGATTCTGAATGTGCACACCAAGAGGTACAGTTGGGTCAATGGGCTTGAGTCTAGAAGTATCTTTATAGTTGTTCTGTTTGCCTCAAAAATAAGTAGGAACTATTTAACACTACATCCAAGTATAGCTTTAAAGAATTTATTCAAGCAGTTTACCAAGGCCTCTTTCATTTTGCTGTGTTTTCAGTAGACCAAGATATTTCAACCAGATTCCTTGGCAAAAGCCTTGAAATAACATGTTTGAGCTATTGCATACAACGTTATACTGGTGATGAGACTAGACTGAAAATAAAACGCTATGTGACGTGCCCAACTATAAGGTTCTGACTTACAGACTCTTTGTATATGCAGTACAAAAATTGGCATCACTCCAACCAGCCCTACCCACAGTGTAGCCCACCCCAGTGTACTGGCCTAAAGCAGGAGGTCTCAAACTGCAGTGGGCACAAGAATGATCTGGGTTGCTGGCTTAAAATGCAGATTCCTGAGTTTCATATCCAGAAATTCTGATTCAACAGATTAGGGGTAGGGCCCAGTAATCTGTTTAACAAGCAGACCTCCACCCCTGAGATTTGGTAGCCAGTGGTCCTGACCACTACTAGTTGAAGAGACACCTTGCCTTGGGGAGGTATCTCCTCTTATGCTAATAGATACAGACTGGGACCTAGCTGTAGCCATTTTGAAATAGCCGTCCTCCCCCACCATCCTGCACTCTGACAAGGCGTTCACCTGAGGAGGTGTTTTGAGTATCTTGGAGTATAATTCAGCAACCCAACGGAAACAATGTCGTAAATGTAACTAAACCTGACTTGATTACCCGTCATCAAGTCTGACTCTTGATCTGGCTCTAGTTCAGGTTTAGTGTGGGTTAAGTGCAATAGAAATTAAACCACTCATGTAACGTTGTTTCTGAGGAGAAAGGAGGGATGTGTTCAAAACAATTTACACAATGTTTGAATTGCATAGATAATTTAGGAAAAGTTTAAACTTAGAAATGACCTTGTGCCCAAGGTTAGATTGCTTCTGGTTTTGCTATCTGAAATTTCATGACCTTATGAAACAAAGTGATAGAAGCCAGAGCTAGCATTCCAGTATTATAATTTTCTAAAAACTGAGGTGTTGTCTTTTGTTTCATTTGACCTACATATGAAGATTACTTAGTTCCCAGCCCCTTTTCTGCAAAAGAAGGGTATGATATGATGAACAAAAATTAATTCTGCTCATTTCTGAACCATGCTGCATCCTGTTTTCTAGGTACTGTGTTATGGGTGACACATGCCCTTCCTATTTTCCGAGGGAGGTAGTAATGAACAACATGCTTTCTCTGTTCCCTTTCCCACTCTGTTCCCTCCTCTTGATATAACTCAAAAGGTACTACAGGATGTTGCTGATTTGTGCCTGGTGACAATATTTGGATTCCTCAAAGTCCAAAATGAAATGAACTAAAAGAGACTACAGTTTTATTCTATCCTAATTGTTCTTAGTTTCCTAGGTCATTCAGAAACTTTAGTCTCTTCTAGTTTCTTAACTCCTTGGCATCTGCCTTATGCTCAGATATAAAGTCACTCTTTCATCACGTTTACCCTGTTAGAGCTTTTCGTCTCTCTTCCCTTTGTATTGGTCAGCCTTCGGCCTCCTCATTGGAGCCACACTAGCTGGACTCTTTAGCTCACCAATTAGCACATGGTAGCATATATATCAGGGTTGTTAGCTAGAAGGTAGACCATGGATGAATTTGAGGAAAGATCTTGTATAGAAATATAGTTTAAGTTTCTTGAAAGATTGATCATTTTACATGTATATGGAGGATACATTTAACAAACTTTTCTGATTAAAATTATAGGTGTGCATATATAAATATAGAGGTGGGAAAAGATGTATTTGCGCTGTGTATTATTTTGTATACATAAGATTGGCGTTTTCAAATAACCAAGCTTAAAACAAAAAGTGTCCCATTTATGGCCAAGTAGACTTGCATGCCAACAGAAAGACATTATGGTATTAAAACCATATGCAATTCTAGCCATATTTTTCTCTTTCCTCTTCATGGGTATTGCATGATGGTATTTCTAATACAAATACTAATATGCTTTGGAAGTAATGGCACTCGCAGGTCTTTCATCATATTGTATCACTGCTTTATCATATTAGGCTAATACACTGCGAGAGTTGGTAGAACCTCTCCATGCCAAATCGGATCCACTTCTGTTGGCACTCAACCCATTGGACTCACAGATTGATAAGCTAATGTTTAGAGAATTTAGATCGGAGAGAGTCGGCACGGCGCAGACTCAGCATCAACCTCTTGCAAGCAACTAAAATGGCCTCGTCCTTGCTGTTTATAACAGAAAACAGACTTAAAAAGCTTAGACCATCAAGTGTTTTGGATTGGGGGCCTCCCTAAAGGGATATTAAGAGGGGCAGGCCACTCATAAGAAGAATGCGAGCTTTCTACACTGGGACTAGCATAAGATCAAAGCCAATCAAGATGGAGCACAGTGACAGAAAACTGCCGGTTCTGTGGGAGAACAGAAGGGGAAGGGTATTGACTGGGGAAGGGCTCTGTGTGGTGACACCTCAGTTGTGTTCTCCTGACACCAGGAAAGGAGAGGGATCAGCTCCAATAACTAGAAAACCCTGGCTGTTTAATGGACTCTTCGGTGGCCTCTTTAAGGCAAAGCAGAGGAAGCAAATTCTGTGTATTGTGTATTTTGCATTTTTAAAATTTGACGTGCTGTATTGTACTAAATTAAGTGTAATCTATTAAGGCAAGGTATACACAACTTGCTCTGAAACTTACTATGTTTATTCCATTATAAAGTGTATTCAGGTGCAACACAGAGACTGCTTTCGGTGACACTAATGAAGAAAATTCCTCATGCCAGGCTTTATTAGATTCCTCAGCTAAAATCCTAACTTTCTCCTTATTTCTTGGCAATTGTATACAAATGGTGTTGTCTCATAGGACAGGCATGAGCTATTCTTTTCTGTAAAAGTTTCCTAATCTATAGGCTGTGGTTTTCACTTTTGAAAAGGTGTTTTGTCTGGATGTCTTTCAAACTAGCTTCAGATATTATTTAATACTATGTAACTGGGTCCCCTATGGCTCAATATTGCTTATTTTTCTTCTGTAGTGGATGTGAAATTTCCTTTATTTAGTTGGATAAGATACTCTGTAATAATTTCAATGCTAATTAATGGATATTTCATACTGTGCAATGAACAAATAATTTAACATTGTATTTGGAAATGTTTTTTTCTTCCTGTCGCCGCAGTGTGTGGTATTGCATAATGTGAATACCTGTAAAAATATAAATTAAAAATAAAAATATGACCAATTGGTATTAGATCTTTTTAGATAGCTAAATAATTTGCTAAGTATGCTTGATAGTAAATATCTTTCTAAAGAGAAGTAATCTATGCTTCTTTCTTACAAATGGAATTTGTGTTGTGAATAAAATCACATTGATCTGCCTTACAATTGCCTCTGTGCTCTAACCATTTTAATGTGTTTTTTTAAGTATATATAAAAATGATGGTTCTGGTATGTAGAAGTCCATCAAAAAGCATTTTGTTGGCATTTAATATTAGTGGGCTTGTCTTGGGTCATTCTCCCTGTTTAAGTCATAGTAAAATTTTATGATATGAAAAATTTTAGTTTTTTCTCATTGAGGAATATGGTGCCTCCACATTAATTTTTAAATATAATCATCTCTTAGCTTTGGTTTTAAACTGTCCCCTTAATGAATTCTTGCCTGGGAGCCAGTACCTTGACCTCCATGTCTCTATTAGTTAAATTTTCTAAATTCTGTGGGTAAATCTAGAATCTGTCATTTATGTTTGTGATTGTCCTTCAAAGAACCTTCCCTTTGGGTCAATAAATCAATGCCAAGGACATGCAAGATTTTGCCATCTGAACTATTTGTCATAAAAACTACAGTAATATTCTGAAAATTCAACCACTGTCAAATATTTGTGGCCTTAACCCATATAGTTTGGTAGATATTACATGCTTAGAGAACGAGGTATAGAATAAGCCAGCTCTGTCTCTTTTGTCACATCTTTATGAAAGTTAGCTTAACTGTTGCGCAGAAGGGATCGACAGCCACTAGAATGGGCTTTACTTAATTTGGTGAAGCACAAGGTCATTCTTACAGGGATGAGCTTCACATGTTCTTTAAAAATACACTTAGCAATATTGGTTGATTCATGCAAGCTGTCCTTTTAAAAGAAGGGCTTTTTCCTCACTAAAAACAATTTTTTCCATCAAAGAAATTGTTATTTTGCCTAAAAGAAAACAAACAAATTACTTCTAATTATGAAAAGAGTAGTTGATTACAGTGACAAGTAAAAGCCAGCTTTTAAAATCTTACGCTTTTTTTCTGATATAACAAACTGCCCTCTCCCCAGTTTTACAATGCTAGACATAGCTAGTTAACTCATATAAAAGCATGAATTAAGAGAGCTAATATTTAATTATAAAACAATTCAAATTACAGTGTAAACTCCTGAATACATAATCATCTTTGGCATAAAACCTACAAACATTAAACCCATCTACATTAAACCCATTAAAAATTTAATTGTCAACTTACATATAAATAAGTGGTTCCTTACAGTGCACTAGTAAATTAGTATTCAGAAAATATTCCCATGTCTCAATGCAAATGTTAATTGCCCTTCATGACAAGAATAGTGCTCCACGTACGTGACGCCATTATCCTGGAAGCCTTAGCGGGTGTACAAGAACGAATGCCTCTCACATTTGACTGGTGACTAATGCTACTATGTCCAGCCTTCTCTCCCCCTTGTGACTTAGCCTTTCCTAGTCTTCTGTGCTCAACCACCCAGCTGTGTTGTGGAAGGAACAACTGTTTCCATGAGGACATTGTCCAATTTTAAAAGAGCACAGTTCCCTTCCAAAACATGTACCAAAACTCGTTATCCTTGTTGGCTTGGTTCTTCAAGAACCCAGTTGGTATACTCGTTTTGTTTTGTTTTCATTTTTTACTCTCCTTCAACATTGTCATTGCAGAGGTGGGGAAATGGGGAGGACACCAGAATGAAATTATAGGTCGCCAAGTTTGTATTCCGCTCTCCTTAATTTTCACCAAAGAAACGTGAATGAAATTACATGATAGACTGTCATAAAAATTACACCATCCCCTGATAGGGAGCCCTCTTTGGAGTATTTCATGTGTAAAGTAGAGAAAACCATCATTCAGTTTAAACATTGGATGCATGAGGCCAGGTAGACGACTGGGAAATGCAAACGAGAGTGAGGTGTAAACGCTGAGGGAAAGTCACAGTCTAGGTCTCTGAAGGAGGGTACACATGGGGCCACTGAGGTACAGGAAGCAAAAACATTGGAATTTCTCCTCAGGTTTTATATCTCATCCTTTCGAATTTCTTTTATGTGTTTGTTTTATAACATGCATATCTATTAATATAGAGTAATACATGTATATAAGTTATGAATAACAGAAGTATTTTAACTGGTAAGGGTGCACAATCAAAAAAGTTTGGAAAACACTAAGCATGAGTGTAAGGAAATCTGTCAACCAAAGACCTTTTAGTATTTGAGAAATGCATTATCATTCTTGCCGTTTGCAAGAAAGTTCCCACAAACTTATTTTGCATTAGCTCATCTTTTCTTTGAGCTTTATCACTACCTGGAGGTCATATGCAACCTGAAAGAACCAAACAATGAACTGTTGGGCTGCTCACCACTTTCCTAGAGTCACAGTATTTCTTAGTGTAGCTAGAAGAGCAATGAGACAATAAAAAGGATCTTCTTTCACCCCTGCCACGTATGACACAGCCAGAAATGACCCTCCCTTGGCACAAAATACAAGTTAATTCGTCAGTAACTTCATTGTAATCCTCAAATCTATCAGTCAATGAAATTTTATATGGGAAAGAACCTTATATGTTCTCAATGAAATTTTATATAGGAAAGAACTTGATATGTTCTCTTTAATAAAATTGGAATAGAAAAGTTTGCCATCTGACACAGGACTAAGTGACATGTTGTAAATATAAATATAATTTGGGAGGGAATTTATTCCTGCATAGCCCTAGAATTCCTGAATAAATTAAATACAAATTAAAATTTCATTGTAGCAGTGATACACCTCCTCATTAGGAGTCGTGGAAGGTTCCTATGTATGTCCTGTGGTTTGCATGTGGTCTTCTACACTTTGCCAACTTTCAGAAAACATTCATTCAAATTGCAAAAGAGCCGGTTTTCAGCCAGTGCTCCAGTGGCTGAACTGGCACGTTGAAAGAAAGTCAATCAGGAAGCAGAGCTCACCAAGTGCTTGCCTCCTCTTCCAAAGCAAGCCTCTTCTAGAAGAAGAAAAGCAAGGGTTTTAAAAAGAGAAACCAGAAGAAAAGTGAGAAGGAGACGAAGAAGAAGAGGGCAAAAAGAGAAGAAAATAAAGGTGCTTTCATATTTTCAGTTGCAACAGTAGCCCAATTGACTTAATTGGTATTCATTTGAGAAAAAAAAACAAGGAAACCAATTGAAAATTATAAAAGAAAATAAAGGTCTGTTTTTGTCTTGAATGTTGAGTTCTGTGTTGTTTTGACTGTTGAGCACAGTGAATCAGATTTAGAATGTGACTCTGCCCCTCACCCCCTCCTTTGAAAATAGAAAGGCTCTTTGTCTAGTCTTATAATGTTAAGTAATTGGTGGCATTTTGTGGTAGCCTGGCATCTCAATCCTTCATCCTTCCTCATCCCACTGCTGTGTCTTGTGGTGTTGCATATGTGTATGATGTGTAGTGATGGGGGAGGGGGCTTTACTTATCTCTGCTAGGAGCCACACTATTCCATTACTATACTTGGAAATGTTTCTGTGTTCCGTCTCATTGTGATTCCTTGTTCAAATGTGCTGCCCAGAGATAAATCCATGCTCAATTCTTCTTACAGCTATCAAACCAGATTCTTTGTAGAACTATGTTGTCCTTTGGTTGAATGCTTTTTTCCTCCTTAACGGCAAGAAGGGAAAAAATAACTTTCAGTTTTTATTTTATTTAATAGCTGTGTTTGTCACTTTTTTTAGTAAATCTTTACTTATCCTTCTTAAAGTAAAACTACATTGAAATTTTATAAAAAATCAATCATCTGGCCCAGTATTCCACAAACTTTAAGAACTGGGGAGAAAGAAAATTGGGTAAGAACTTTTTTTAACAAAATATATACTCCTCACAGTGTTAGGTAATATGGAAGAAGGTTATCTTAAAATAAAAATTTACTATGTAAAAATACTTCTACCTCTCCCTTAGATCCTAACGCTAGAATCTGAGTCCCTTTTTTTCCTTCCCCTTCTTTCAAGAACTGAAAAACTAATAATACATTAGGCCACCTGATACCTAAACTACTATAATTCACATCAGTTAGGCCTCCCATTTCTCTCCTACCCTCTGCTCTATGAAATTACATCTAGCTTTAGATGCAGTCTTGCCTTGAGGCAAAAAGGATGATAACTAGTAAATAATTCCTCGGGCTCCTTTCCTGGCCTATGATTTTATGAAATGGAATTATGCTGTTCAAATGGATCCTTGTTTACAACTCCATTTAGTTACTCTGAATGACCTTATGATTTTGTGCCTTCCTGGCTCCAAACCATTCTCAGTTAAAATTCCCTATCTCATTTCAGTCTTGCTCTTAACCCACAAAGCAGTTTCTCCTTTTTACAGTCCTCCTTCCACCCATCTCTCAAAATCCTCTAGGTGTTGCAAACATTCAAGGATGAGCCAGCAGAGAATTAAAAAGCTGTTATTTAAATGGATTTCTGTATTTTTAGATTATACTTCTAACTTAGCTATATGATTAGGAAGTTAAAATTCGTTATAGAGGAATTAGTGATAGCATGTGTTGATGATAACAAGGAACTTTCTAATGGAAGGACTCAATAATCATACCTACCATTAGTTGCTAACCTCAGCAGCAGAGCCAAAAATTGAATATGAAACTTAAATGAAGCTACTTTTTAATCCTAAAAGTGATCCCTTCAAGTTAAGGTAATGTGTTTGTTGGCTTTTCAAAAAGTTTTTAGAATGCTGCATTTTAAGGGAGTCTAACAAATTCATTAACACCTACTGTTAAATACACAATTCAAATGATTACTGACAAAATTAGGAGTATAGAATTCTTGTTAAAATCATGGATTTGGGAGCCAGACTGCCCACTTGAAATTCTGGCTCCACTGCTTACTAAGTGTGACCTTGAGCAAGGTACTTCCCTGCTATAAAATGAAAATCAAATAAATCTACTCTTAGTACTGTTGTGAGGATTAAATGAGATCATGAACGTTAAGTATTTACCCTACTGCCTGGCACATATAAATGTTAACTACTCATTACCAATTAGGGAGTCTTTTTTTTTTTTTTTTTTTTTTTGACTAAGTCAGAAAGCCTAAAATATTCACATAGACTGTGGTGGAATGAAAAACATTCCATATTTACTCCTTGGGCC